GGGCGTGGCTAAAGGGCTAAATGCTCACCTTGTTGGCCCGGTATAAAACCATAATATATAAAAGTGGAGTCAGAGTATATGGAATAAAAGTCAGAACATACGGAATAAAAATCTGAATATATGAATGATACCTGAATATATGGAATAAAAATCTGAATATATGAATGATACCTGAATATATGGAATAAAAATCTGAATATATGAATGATACCTGAATATATGGAATAAAAGTCTGAATATACGGAACAAAAGTCTGAATATATGGAATAAAAGTCTGAATATATGGAATAAAAGTGGTTTAAAATAGGGCGTGGTTAAAGGGCTTGTGGTCTAAAGAGGGCGTGGTTTTAAAGAGGGCGTGGCTCAAATAGGGCATGGTTTAAAATAGGGCGTGGTTAAAGGGCTTGTGTTCTAGAGCAGTGTTTTTCAACCTTTTTTGAGCCAAGGTACAGTTTTTCATTGAAAAAATCTCGAGGCACACCACCATCCAAAAATATTAAACAAATCTTTATCCGCCTATAGTAACACTACAGTTATTCTTATTTTATTCTTATCTTATCTTAAGTGTCTTGAATAGGAATCAAATAAACACAAAAATGTATTTTTATCATATTTCATATTTCTTCTTTCAAATTGTACTTAACATTATATACAAAATCTAGTCATAAGGAATTATTACATGATTACGCCACCAGTCACTAGAACAGCACAGACACTCAAAAATTGAATATTATTTGCAGAAAATTATCCCAAATTTTTTTTTAGACCAATTAAGTGAAATAGGATGATTTTCTAAGGCACACCTGACCATCACTCGCGGCACACTAGTGTACCGAGGCACAGTGGTTGAAAAACACTGTTCTAGAGGGCGTGGTCTAAAATGGGCGTGGTCTAAAGGGGGCGTGGCTAAAGGGCTAAATGCTCACCTTGTTGGCCCGGTAGTGCTCCTTGACCCGCGGCTTGAGCCCGATGTGCAGGTAGAGCTGGTCCTTCTGGTTGTAGCGCGTCCACGCCACCTCCTCAAAGCGGTTGGGCTTGGTGTGGATGAACTTTGTGTCCTGGGGAACCGGCTGGTTCGGGTCCCTGTAAAATAAGGAGGAACCGGGAAAAAATAAGAAAACAAAACGCAAAAAATTAAAAAAAAAGTTGTGAAAATACAGGAATCTAATGGTGAAATAAAACTCCCGGTTTTTAACCCTTTAAAGCCTGATCCAAGAATAAAACAAAACAGAAAATTACTTTTTTTTTTTTTGAATTCCTTAACAAAATATGTAAAAATAAAAAACAGAAATACATTTTTGATATTAACCCTATAATGTCAAATGTATCATATCTGATTCATACGGTTTCTGAAATGTTTTGCGTCTGACTCCTTTTGCATAATTTAATGGTAAAAACTTTACTCAAAATCCTATTGAACACAATCAGATACACCTGATAACAGGGGGCAGAAGATACACAAAAAATAATCTGGACTTATCGCGTAGTAATAAATAACTTTAATCAGGTTTGGATGAACTTGGTGTCAAGAGGAGGAACCGGGAAATTATCAGTGAAAAAATAAGAAAACAAACCCAAAAAATGTTTTAAAAAATTGTGAAGATACAGGAATTTTAATATATTAAGACAGTGTTTTTCAACCTTTTTTGAGCCAAGGTACTTTTTTTTTTATTGAAAAAGTCTCGAGGCACACCACCAACCAAAAATGTCAAACAAATCTGTATCCGCCTATAGTAACACTATAGTTATTCTTATTTTATTCTTATCTTATCTTAAGTGTATTGAATAAGAATCGTATAAACACAAAAATGTATTTTTATCATATTTTATATTTCTTCTTTCAAATTGCACTTAACATGTCCACTTCAATATACAAAATTATATACAAAATCTAGTCATAAGGAATTATTACATGATTACTCCACCAGTCACTAGAACAGCACACACACTCAGAAATGGAATATTATTTACAGATAATTAATTATCAAAAAATCTTTTTAGACCAATTAGGTGAAGTAGGATGATTTTCTACACCTGACCATCACTAACGGCACACTAGTGGTTAAAAACACTGTATTAAGACATGAGAATTGTTTTTTTTTTTTTTTTACAAGCTTTGTGAGCTTGTGAGAAGAGTTTTGAAGATAAAAAAATAGAAGTTTTGAGACAAGAAAGAGAGAAAAATCTGCAGAAGAGTTATCTTAATTATATATCCATGAAGATAAAAGATTTCGTACTAGTTTTACTAAAGACACAGCACTAAAAACTTTCTTGTAACTCATTCATTTGGACTTTAACCCAGTTTGAAACGGATTTCAGTGCAAAAACATGAAGAAAATGGACATTTAAAAATAGTTTCTCAGTCATTGCATCATCCCGGGCCTCTGTATTTATTCCTGTCTAATCCATTTTGACTTATTTTGTCCTTTTGGGCATTATTGGGCAGCAGAAGCAGACATTTGGCCCCAGTAACCTTTAAACATTCAGCTGCTTTAAGGCATGACACATAGCTGTTTTATTAAAGCTTTCCCCAGAAATAGCCGGAGCCATTAGCGTGCACGTCTCCATCAACATGCAACGTGCATTAAAAGCCCCTAAAACATTGATAATCCCACCACAGATACAGTGGGGGAAATAAGTATTTGATATCTGATTTTGCAGGTTTGCCCACTTACAAAGAATGCAACGATCTATAACTTTAATCATATTTACATTCTAACAGTGAAAGACAGAATCCCAAAGAAAATTCCAGAAAATCACATCATATGAATTTATAAAAATTGATAACCATCTGATGAGGAAAAATAAGCATTCTTTGTAAGTGGGCAAACCTGCAAAATCAGCAAGGGGTCAAATACTTATTTCCCCCACTGTAGATGGAATGATACCTGAACATATGGACTAAAAGTCTGAATATATGGAATGAAACCTAAATATATGGAATAAAAGTCTGAATATATGGAATGAAAGTCAGAACATACGGAATAAAAATCTGAATATATGGAATAGAAGTCTGAATCTATGGAATAGAAGTCTGAATATAAGGAATAAAGGTCAGAATATATGGGATAAAAGTTTGAAGTTTGAATCACATCATATGAATTTATAAAATTTATAAAAATTGATAACCATCTGATGAGGAAAAATAAGCATTCTTTGTAAGTGGTCAAACCTGCAAAATCAGCAAGGGCTCAAATACTTATTTCCCCCACTGT